GTAGACACAACATCTTTCTTTGTATGTGGTGCTGAGGATGGAAAAAATGCCACACTCATTCTAGGCGAGCACACACCTCTTGAACCACATCCCCAGCCCTACTCAGTGGTCTTGTACTGTGCATGATTCCAAGTCACTGAGGCCTTTTCCTATAATCTCTTGGAACATGGGAGACCAGGTCTGATTTCAGAATCTGAGACTTCTTCTGAGACCTCAGTGAAAATACCATTCTACCTTATCCAGCCCCAGCACTGTCCCTTGAATTCTCAACTAGCATTTGAGAATTGTGTCCCTTGAGTTCTCAACTAGCAGTTCTTGCTCAAGTTCATTATTCCCAAAGCACCAGTTTGAAAGAGACAGTACCTCTGGGAACATCTACTCTACAGAACATCCACAGCAGCAGCACACCTCTTCCTGATGAGAGCTTTCAGCACATGCCTGTCACTATCGTGAACCCATATGATGAGTAATTATCTAAAATTGTAGGAGGATACCTGGCTACTGAATCATGGAGGTGTAAGAGATGCAGTGTTTCCAGCTGAGACACCACTGAGAGCCCATGTACTCAGGACAATATTGAAATTCTTAAGGGGGTGCCTTTGACTGCCTGTGTAATGTTAATAGGGGTATAGGTATTCTAAATTATTCTCAGTAGAGTGGGTTGACCATGCCTAATATTCATTTCACAATTATGGTACTGAAGGCTGCCCTTTGCCTATCAGATTTAGCCTTGGCCCGTGCTGTCAAAGAGCTGCGAGCACCATGATGCATGACAGTGCCATGAACTACTATTTTAACATAGACTACAGGCCCATGCTCTAAGTGCCCAGCTCTCTCAGCAGCTCAATATCTGGGTTTCTCTCCTGCTCCAACCTTGATTCTGGTTATAAGTATATCCAAACCACATTTTGTATAAAGTTCACTCTTTCAAATGTTAGGAAGAAACTGGGTAATATATTCTGGATATCCCAGGAAGAAAGCCACAATAATGTAACAGGAGTGGAGAGGCTCCTAAACACACACTCAGATTCTGTCTGGAAGATTTAGATTACATCAAATATTCCTTGACATTGCAGGGAAAATGAAGTCTTTCCTTTGCTGAAAAGGTTCTATTTGGCCTTAGAATAATAAGTTTCCTACTTGTTTGTTTTAAAATATCATCCTTGTATAAAATTAAGGCATTTTGATATTCCAGGTTTTATATTTTAGAAATTTTTAGGGCAGTGTTTTTATATACTATATGAGGACTCATTTTGACATGATGGTGTATTATGAAAAACTAGTTTGCTCATATTCAGTGCCAAGTTTCTAGGTGTTCATTGATCCATTTTTGTGTTAAGGTGCATCAGGACTCATTTCATATCTTTCTAAATATGATAGAAACCACTGTAAACATTGAACTTTCAGTGTCTCATGTGTATACAGAATGATGGTAAATTGGGTATAAGAACAAGGATTGGGAACCCTGGGCACAGGATGTTAATATTCCTTATCTTCTGATGACTCTCCATACAGCTTTTCTGATGGGAAGTCCTGATTTTCAGTCCCATAGTGTACAGTTGTACATTTTTACCCACATCTTCTCCAGCACTTATTATTTAAAGTCTTGATGAATGCCTCTCTGGATGGCATGAGCTGAAATATCAGTGGAGTTTGGGATGGCATTTTCCTGAATGCTAGATATATTTTATGTATTTATAAAGAAGTTGTGTTTGTGGTTTTGAGAACATCTATCTCTTGCTTTTAGCCATTTCCTAATTGGATGCGTGAGATTTTCCTCAGCTCACCAGTCAGCATACTCCTCTCTCATAGCCAGCTCCGGCTTTACTCTATTTCTTCCACGAATGCATTTTCTCTTTGAGTATCTCATATTTCTGGTTTCATCTGGTCACTTGCTCTCCATTGTGCCACTCCTGTGATTTACCACAGCCTGTCTTTTTCTTCAAACAACAATGCACCAGTTCAACTGACTCCCACATCTGCAAATAGTCAGCTTTTCAGAGATGGGAGTCACCTTTCTATTTGAAATACCTCTTAGTTTCTTCTCCAATGAAAGTGTTGCATACTTTACCCAAGTGTGTGTGCTGTTATGTTCATGTTACATAGAGACACACTTCCTCAGTATATTTTACTTTTTTAAAATAAGTTTTGACTTGGGAAATATTTTGCTGAAATGCATTAAGTTTTCAAAGTCTCTGATGAATAAATGAAGCAAGTACAACAGTTTATCATTCCTACACAAGGTAACAGATTTGAAACTCTCATCTTACCAAGTATCAGTCTTTCAGAATAAAAAATTGGCCAATTTAAAATACTATGGAACACAAAGTGCCATTCTTAAATTTCTTTAAAAGCATTGTTAGAACTGCTGGGCAGTGCAAAGTTGACTGATTATATACTGATGCTACTTGTTTGGGGGCTATATGCTTGTCAGCATGTATATTCTGAAGGAACACAGTTCCTATGTCCCTCATCTTGGCTTTATGCAATCATTAGCCAGAATGATATATTAGCTCAGTTAATCTGAACTGCCTAGGACAGTGAAACTTGTACAATATATTTTTGTTCAAAATGCACTCATCTAATTTCTACTGCTGATGATTTCACAAATATATATATGGTGATAAGTGATATGTGATGATGAAAACTTTATGCATCTTATTATTAGTATTACTTTCCCCAGAGTGTCTCTAAGAAATCTACAGAAGTTTGTGCTTCCAGTGTATCTAGTGGATCCTATACACAAGCAAACAATGGAACAAAGGAACATGGAGAAGGTAAGAATGACAAAAAATGCAAAAGACATTGGTGAGCATATTGCTTTAAAGCAAG